AAAAATTCTACAACTAAATTCTTTGGAAAGTTTGGATCTGAATATATTTTCACCTAGCAAGTTACCATAATTGTTCCTTAGGTGGGTATAGAAAGTTACTAGTCAACCACTCCATTTTTTTAAAAAGCAAGTAATTTTAGTTATTCCAAAAAGTTAATGCCATTCACTAGTTAGGCGAATGTGTAAGTTAGGATTGTTGTACAAGCTGAGGTTAGTACATGTGAAAACAAACTAGACCATGCTTCAGACAGCCTTAAGAACACCTAACTTGTTTTACACAACCCAAAGCAAAGTTTCTGATTTCAAATAGTTATATGGGCTGGAGAGATGGCTCAGCGTAAGACCACTGGCTGTTCTGCCAGAGGAGCCAGGTTCCATTCCCAGCACCTATATAGTGGATAGCTCACAGCCACCTGTAACTCCAGCCCAGGTGCTGTGGGATGTTCTGTATGTCAAATTGCTCTGATTGGTCAATAAATAAAACACTGATTGGCCAGTGGCTAGGCAGGAAGTAGAGGCGGGACTAACAGAGAGGAGAAAAGAAAGACCAGGAAGGCAGAAGGAGACACTGCCAGCCGCCTCCAGGACAAGCAGTATGTGAAGATGCCAGTAAGCCACGAGCCACATGGCAAGGTATAGATTTATGGAAATGGATTAATTTAAGCTGTAAGAACAGTTAGCAAGAAGCCTGCCACGGCCATACAGTTTGTAAGCAATATAAGTCTCTGTGATTACTTGGTTGGGTCTGAGCGGCTATGGGACTGGCGGGTGACAAAGATTTGTCCTGACTGTGGGCAAGGCAGGAAAACTCTAGCTACACCCAGGGGATCCAAATACCTCCTTAGGCACCAAGCACACAACAGACAGACATGTAGGCAAAACACCCATACAAACAAAACAATCCCTTTCTTTTCAAGTCGTTACATTTAGGGCAACATAATACCATATCACCTGGCAAACAACCCCCACCCACTTTTATGGGTGTTTCAACTACAAGGAAATATTTATTGTGAATGGCCAGAACATTGAAAAACAAATTTATTCTAATACAGTTTTTTTTTTTTTTTTTTTAAAAATCACAACAGATTGTATTATATAATTCAGATTTTCATTTTGGAGCATATTTCATTTCCTTTTTTGTTTTGGTGGTACTGCTGTTGGAGACCCAACTTAGAGCCTTGGGCATGGCAGATCAGCAATCTATCTCTGAACTCTATCCCTAGCTGGGAGGAAAAATAAAAGCCCAAAGTATTGCCTTGTTAATAACCAGCTACTCTACCACAGTACGTCACTCAACAGTCCATGTCTGAATTCACTCACTGGTATTATACAGAAACTGAACTTGATCATCAGTCTTACAGTTTTAAAATTATGGCTCTATAATAAAGCATCTTAAATGTATTAAGTATCAAAAAACATAGTAAAGATGTTTTCAAACGTCTTACTGTGCCTGGTCTGTTGTAAAGCAGTTTGTGTAGATTTCTAAGTTCATCTGTTTTTTTCTTACTCAGAAAGAAATGTATCCTTTCAATTTCACATAGTTTCTGACCCTTCCCTGGGGAAAAAAAAAATCATAATTAAATACCCAGGCCTTTAATAGTCAGTTAGTTTAATGAAAATCATTCCCACAGCATAGTTTGTATAACTTTATGCTAATAAGGAAAATAATATTATGCCAAAATAGATCACTACTTCCTAAACACTAAGTATGCTGCTATTACCAAGTTTTTGTTAATCACTTTTTTGCCTGAGTGAGCATTTTCACTGTAAAAAGAAAATAGAATAAACTTACCTTGTTCAATTGTAAATGGCTCTCTTTGTAAGGAAGACACTTGCATTGTCAATCTCTCTACTTTCTTCTTTTCTCTCTTGCCTTCCACAATGAGGCTCTTTTCTAGGAATTAATTGAATAATTTAAAATTTTTTAAATAACAAAAAGCTAAAATAATGTGTTAACTTTATAAACACGTGGGGGGGAAAAGATCTCCCATACCCAACAGCATACTTTCCATCTGAGCATGATTTAAGAAGCAAATAACATGAAACATGAAACACTGTGGAAGCTTTTATTTTTTTAAGAGTAACATTTTACTTAAGTTTGTCAAGCACCCAGCCTAAAATAACAAAAACTCTTATCCAATTACATGTATCACTGTTAAAATCTAGTTATTTGACTTATGAAAAATCAGTTTCTCACTAATCTTATTTCTTTTTGATACACAAGAGAAATGTATTTACATGTATTTAACATGTACTAGTTAAAATGATTAGTATTTCATTCTGTTTGGGGGCCTTTGGACTCTTCTAGTTTTTCACACAAACATGTAATAAATTATTTTAAACAGTCATCCTACTGTATTATAAACACTAGAGCATATTTCTCCTATCTAACGTTACTTTGGTACCTGCTGTAAGATAGCTGGCTGGACATTACTTTGTAGTTTGATAATTATGTTCACGACAGCCATGAGTCAATCTGACAAAGTTAAATACTGTTTAGTCTAGACTTCTAAGAAAAACCCAGGAAATACATAATATATAAAGCTTAAAACATTGTTACATTTATCAAAAACTACTTACTTATTGATTGAAATCTAGTCAAACTATATTTTGTTGTAGGTCTTCTCATTCATTCAAATGAATGTCTATTAGGTCCAAAAATGTACCTAATACTCAAAACAATGGTATTAAACATTTTTTTAAATTTCTACTAGTATAATGAAAACTATACTTAATGTAAAAGATGATAAAAAGAGCTTTATGAAAAATACAAATAAGGGTAAGGATATAGCTCAGTGATAGACTGTCTGAAATGCTCAAGTCCCTGGATTCAGTAGTCAGCTTTGGGAAGAGAAAAAGGTAACAAATATAAAATTTGTGAGCCTGCCTGGCCAGACTGCTGGACATGCAAAGGTGCTTTCTGCCAAGTGTGGTGACCCAAGTCCAACACCCCAGAGGCCTAAGCCCCAGAAATAATATGGTGGAAGATAACGGATTCCCTCAATTTGTCTTTTGATCTTCACATGCACCATCCCTGCCACACACAACAAATAAAAACCACAAAATCCTTTGTGAGGGACTGGAGACATGGCTCAGCAGTTAGGAGCACTCACTGCTCTTTCAGAGGACCAGTGTTTGATCCTCAGCACTATATGGCAGCTCACAACCATCTCTAACTCCACTTCCAGGGATGATCAGGCACCTTCTGGCCTCAGAGGGCACCAGGCCATGCACATGGTATACATACATACATGCAAGCAAAACATTCATATATAGAAATAAAGATAAATCTTAAAGCTTTGTGAGTTGAAGAGGGATTATTTTAGGGTCAGGGAGGAAAAAGGATCAAAACATTAGCATAGGCTTTATAAGATAGTTCAGATTTGGGGATATAAGGAGTTTCGAAGAATGGAGAAAGATAAGTATGTTATAACAGCTCCTATAATCCTCAATTTCCTCTTGCTTAATCTAAGTCATTCACTTGATTTGGATCAGGATCTACAAACTAATAATTACTTAGTCCAACCCTGGAGCAGAGCTTTCAAACTAATGCATGCCCAGCTGTAACCTGAACAGTTCCTCCATGTCCTACAGAAACCCAAACCCATCCAAAAGACCTCATAATCATCTCCAAGCTTGTTCACTTCTGTATTTTTCTAGAGAATAACAGCATCACTCAAACCCTACAGACAAAACCTGAGAGTCACAGTTCCAGATCAGCTTCTCTCGTCTTCCCCAAATCCCTCAAGTCTGCTAAAAATGCCTTAGTTCACAGACCTCTGTAATCTCACTGTCATGCACTTTTCCATCATTATACTGAAGGTTAAGGATTCTGGGCTAAGTAGAATTAAAAACTTACAATTCCAGCATCCCAAATACCTCAAAAGAGAAAAATGAGTAATAATAATGAATTAGTTCTGAAACTGTTAAGGGCAAACCAACAAAATCCAGGATTCTATGAGTTGTTAGCCTTCAAAACATTACTGCTTAGGCCTTTTATAGTGTATTTACATAACATCTCAATTTCTTTCTGCCCAAGGGAACTCACCACCCTAGTATCTTAACTTTGTCTCCCTAGGAAGACAAAAAAGTAAAATATCAGGGGTACAAGTGTTAAGAAAGTCTTAACAATACTGATATTGCAGCCAGCTTCCAATTACTATATTATAAATAACCTAAAAGTAATGTAAATAATTCGTATTAATATTTATAATTAAAGCCAGTGCTGTACCTAAATGACACACTCCCATAAGGTCTTAGGGCACGTACCACTTCAAATAAAAAGTATACTTTGTCTCCTTAGCCCATATTATATTTATAAAAAGAAATAAGTTTGGGAAGAGCACTTGAACCCTGCGACCTGCTCTCGAGTCTGGCTGAGCTGTGGCCATCTTCACAGTCAAGCTGGACTGGACTAGTGCTGAAAGCTGTGAATGACTGTGCCTTGGATATTCCGATTCTCCGGGAAACTGGTGTACCTGTAAAGGGACAGCACCAAGCATCCTGGATAACTGACAAAATACCCCTGCACGTCTCTAGGTTGGCTTCACAGCTCAGCCTCTAGTCAAATACGGTGACTATTACCATCTTCCTTTGAGCAGAATTAGCTCCAAAACCGAGACAGCTGTGGGTTCGCTTTAACTTTCAGTTCAGTTTTCTCGTCTCAAACTACTTTCTCCAACAGTAGCAGCTTTCACGGGCGATTCCCAGGCAAAGAAAACGCTCCCACAAGAACCCTTACTTAAAAATCAGCAGATACGTACAGTGGAAGATAGGAAAACATTTCCAGGATTAGCACAAGTACCTGTGGTGTTAGGTTACATTACGGACCTTAGGGTAACTTCAAAAGGCAAACGCTGCAGAATGAAATTAGCACAATTAAAACACTCGCGTAGCAACACAGCACCGGTGTCAAAGGCAGATCTCAGACTTACAAACTTCCTGCCGGATGACGAAGTGTTCTGAAGGCACACCGCGAAAATTCAGCTACACTCGCATCGAAACCCTGGCAGACACTCAAAAAACAAACAACAAACAAACAAAAACCCAGATTCCCTGCCACTGATCGTTAGCAAATATACACGCCATCAATCGCGTGAAACCAACCACTCCGACTTGATGCCCGTAAGCGCCAAAAAAAAGCAAAATCATTCCCAAGGGATTGGAAGGAAGAAAAAAAAAACTTTTGATGAGAAAAATCCACCCGTGAGGGATGCGCGTCCCTGCCCACCTTTCTCTTCCTCCTCGTCCTCGTCGTCGTCCTCTTCTTCCTCCTCGTCCTCCTCACTCTCGTCCCTGGCGCCCGGCATTTCGGGCTCCTTCTCGGACGCGGGCTGCGCCCGGGCGTCCTCTCCCTCTGCAGCGGGGGCCGCCGCCGACATGCTGGGGGCCTGCGGGCGGGGAGGAAGCCGCACGCTTCGGTTCCCTCGCTCGCTCGTTCGCTCGCACCGCACGACCGACCCTGGCCACTGCCCAGCGGGGGGAAGCCCCCTTCCAAGTCGCCGACTCCCGTCTGTCACTCCACCCGCCTCCCCGGGGATGCCCGAGGCGGGAAAACGCGCCGCCCTCCCCTCCCTCCTCCCCCATCCCGCCGCCCGCCCGCCCGCGCCA